ATCCAGTTCCTTAACCACCTGCTGGCCCCGAAATGACATATTTTAAAGCTTAAAAAGCACTACATGTTGGTAAAAAAAAAATGTAGGAAATTAAACTCAACCACAGGACAGGAGGGTAACAGCAAGCATTCCTCACTGGGTTCCATGGGTAGACAATACCAAGTCCAGAGGAGGCAGGAGCCAAAAATCTGCCTGGGTGTCCTTTGGAACGGAAAGAGCAGGAAGGCCTGAAGTGGGTCTCCCTTGGAATCAGTGAGGACCTGCTTGCCAGTCAGGAACGAGCCACTCCGCCTCAGGTATAATGCTAAAGAACGAGAACTCAGTGATGGGATCCAATGAGAATCTGCTTCATCAAAGGTGATGGAGCTAATACAAATTCTAACCAGGCTTGTATCAGACGTGGAGAATCTTCTGATGATCTGAACCGAAGGCCAGAACCAGACGTGTGTCCCTTTCAGCACCATGAAGATCTTGACCAAAATAACATTTTTTGTGGTATTCAGAGAAAAAGCTGGGCCCAATGACAATGTCGAGGGTATTGCCGGTTCTGGGTGGTTAAACACTTTGGGAGTCATTATTCATCACACAGCGTGAGAGCGGGGAGTCTGAGTCTGATGTGAAGGCGTTTGGAAAATGCTTAGGAACTCTAGGTCATTGGGTTCTGGAGGAAAATTACTTGCCAGAGCAAGTCTTCAACATATTCAGAATATGGGTACCTGGTAACACCTTCATCCTAAAGGAACGTTTTTAAAGACCGAATAAAATTCTTTTACCGGGACCAGCCCACAGGGTATAAATGGAAACTGTTTAAGATCTGGCACAGTGAGACCCACACGGCCTTGAAGCGTATCGACAAGGACACTCTGCCAGCGAACCATGGGAGCAGGAAAATATCACAGATGGAACAGTTCCTTACTCTGCTGGCGAAATAGAGAAGTACTGTTTGGGAAGTAACGTGCATTTCACGATCTTGCTTACTGTGATAATGCTTTCATACATCCTACTTTTATTGGTGATCTTCATTCAAATATTGAAGTGTCATTTCTCCTTCCAAACACGGCCTCTTAGATCCAAGCGATGGGTCAGGGAGTTACAGCAGCTACTACCTGTGCATGGCCTTCTCCCTGTCTATGGTTGGGACTGAGGAAGCCACTAGGAAAAGGCAGGTGTACTTCAGGAAGGATTAAAACATCTGTGAGATCATGGAGAGCCTTATTTCATTTAAGGTGATGTCATTATGGACTATATAAATGACAACGAGAAGAAGACACTCGAGAGGGCTCGTCCATAACTTGAGTTCCACCAAGAACGAACAGGTTGCAAAAATCAACCAGGCTGTGGATGAAATGGCAAAAGCTCAACTTGTGTGCCTAGGGTGACATTGGGAAAACGCTAGAGGGGGCTCCAGAGCAAGTGGATATTGAGTTACTGGAACTGGACAGGAACTGAAGAGGGAAGAGAAAAAGAAAAACAAAAATAGCAAGAGGGGGTAAAAAAGAACTACCAGGACCTTTCACATAGAAAGGTTTAGCAGCAGGTTTTACAAACATCAGAAAGCTCTTTAAAACGTTTGAAAACAAGGATCTCAGCACTGAAAGGTTTTCATTTGTAGAAAGCAATTTTTTGCCCCTTATCTCCTCACGAGCAATTGTGTGATGGAGAAAAAGAGAAGCAAACCACCCTGGGTGTGTTTCTGAACCAGTGAGAACTACTTAAGAGCCTTAGAAGATACTCCAGGAACTCTCCTAGAAGGAGGGTTTGTTATCAAAGGAGAGGACCGCTCCAACTCTGTTTCTCCCCCTAAGACATTCCACTGGGACGAGATGTGGAGGTGGGATCCAGCGCTACTGGGGACTCTGATTCTCTGTAGGCCTGAGCAGCTAGGAGTTCAGACAGAGCCGGAGAACACCATCCCGAGTGTCCTGGGAGAGCCTGGCAGGGCCCCTGGAGGGTGGGGGTGCAGCTGGCCTGGCTATGGGAGCCGGCCCCAAGCTGCTCTAGGACCCTCTTGTATGTGAGGTTCTTACACAGCAAGGTAGGGATTCCAGTTTTTGTACTTTTAAGCCAAATTTGCATTCCATTGTTTTCACTTTCTCTTTTACTATGGGCCTGAGATAAGGTCATCGTTCAACACTTAAACATTATTAAAATATAATTTAAGCACACTTCTTGAGAGTGACAGAACTCTATCCAGTAGGAAATACTAGTCCAAATGAAGCCAGTTTTGAAATTGACACCTACCTGAGTCTGTCTGGCTTCTTTATAAATTCTAAGAATCATACTTAGGAATTCGAGTTTGGACATCATTTTAATCTTTTAAAATTGCACCGAAGTACAAGGTGCCTCACTTTCTGCATTTCCCTTTTAAGGAGCTGTCATGGGTGCTCTATTTGATTTCTTCCTCCTTATTAGGATCCTTAACTCTCGTTGTCTGACTATAGCTCCCAGTGCCAAGGAACCGGAACGCCAATGCTTAATTCCAAGCGTTCTCTTCGTTCTGGCAGTAAAAACGGTGACATCACCTGTGTGCCTCAGTGTGCACGGCAACGTGGACTCAAGACTTGTTATGACTGGGAGGGTGACAGCCCTCCAGGGAGCAGGGAGGACAGACATCAGACATGGCTGTGGTTCGTGACACCCCAGCAAGCTCAGTGCAGCTAAGAGGGAGTGCTGAGAGCTAAGGAGGAGGGAATCCCAGGCAGCGGGAAGCCCCATGTGCTGATAAAATCTGTGCCCCTTGGGGAGTGAAATGATAATAGATTTTTGTCTCCTAAAAATCGGACACAGCTTTCAACTTATCACGTAGTAAAGTGTGTTACAACCTCACAAGATACAATTTGCTCAGACTTGGCTGAGAATCTGAACATATGTATGACAGTGAGCTTTTGGATACTATAACAAATATCTCAATCACCTATAGAGTCCTCGTTCCACCACATCTAGCCAAGAGGGGCTTCGATGCAGCTCCCCCAGCACTGGGAGGGTGTACATCCCAGTGCCCTGATGCTCACTCTAGGAGAGGGAGCAGTAGCTGCAGGACTGTGAAGGGGCAGAGCCCAGGTTCCAGGCCGCTGGCAGCGCCGAGACAGGAGCTAGAAGACCGGGAATGGGCAGCAGGCTGGAAGCTGAGTCTCAGGAAGGCTTCTGACAGAGGCTGCCTGCCCTGAGAAATACACAGATACAGGGAAGGAGGAACCCCTTCCTTCATACTCACTCAGCTTCAGATCACCATACTTGCTACATGTAAGCATTAAATGAAAAAACTTGTAAAGTGGCAGGCAGGTGGCAGGGTGATTAAGGGCACTCACGTGGCTGACTCCGGTTTGAATCCTGGACCTGGCGGCTTGCATTGTCACTTTCTCTCTGTCCCTTTTTCTCTGTCCCTATCTGGTCAAATTGAAGTGAATAAATACATTTTGAAAAAAGTTGTAAACACGGGAATGTACGTGTGTGTAAGTTTATATATATATATATTTACATAGATGTATGTATATGTATTCAGGACTTCAGAAAAGGCAAAGGAAAATGTAGATCACGCAAAAGCAGACATGGATTTTAGCAAGTTCTTATATTAAAACACACACATACGCGGTTTTTTCCCCAATCTTTTCCAAGTGCCCTCATATATCTGTATTTATATTTCTAAAGTATACCACATGCATATATAAATATAAAAACTATCATATATACTTACTGGAAAAGTTATTATTGTAACGGGGCTGTTCCATAATTTTTCAGCCATCGAAAATCATCACATAATTCAAAAGCCACTTTCTTTCTGAGTAATAGAGTGCGGTCAGTCAGTACTCGCTCAGTCGCAAAACTGGACAGGGTACCAAATCCACGTATTCAAGAAAAATAATATTTTATAGCTCTATTTGTGAAATAATAAGGCAAAATATTCATAAGAATCAAAACATAAAACGTTAAGAAAACTGAGGAACAGATCGTGCACCAGCAAAGCCAGACAGTCTTTTTAATGTTTCGTTTTAAGTTTGTTCCACATGGCGGTGGGCTTCCCAGAGAGAGACAGAGACAGGGAAAGTGAGACATCTCCTCCATCTCTGATCCGCCCACTGCCACGCCCTCGCCGCCCCCACTCCCTACAACTCTCTCCCCGCCTCCTCTCCTGCCTTCTCCTGGTCCCAAGTCTGAGAGAAGGTCTCGCCCCAATCCCTTCTCCCCCAGTTTCCTGTCTGGCAGGCATGACCTGCAGGCACCCAGGAGATTTCCTACCACCAGGATCACTTTCCGACCGATGCCGCCAGATCCCTGACAATCTTAAGAGGCGAGGCGGGCACAGCACACAATTCATGGCCAACTCCACTCAGGCTGAAAAACTAACTAGCCAGAAGTGAAATAAAAGAGCCAAGGTTGTCGGAGAGGTACAAGAAAGGACCTAACATGGCCATTCCCTCTTGAAAGCATAGTGGGAATCTTGAAGTTATCGAGTCCGCTTCCCCATTAAAAGAGAAGGCAAGTTACATAAAATCCCTATTACTGCATAAAACCCCACGCAAGTCCCAGCCCTGAGCTTCACCACTCCTAAACTGCGGATTTCTGCACCCTCGCGGTCCTGGGGAGGGGTCCCCTGCACGGTGACAGCGGCCAAGGGTCGCAGAACCGCACTGTCAGTCTCCAGGGTTGGCCGTCCCCCAACAGCGGCACCTCACACCTCGCCAGAGTCCGTGCAAATGGCCAGGTCGAGCTCGGGCCCTCCAGTCCCCGAAAACGCGGCATCTTTGGTGAAAATGCGGCTCGCTGGGGCGTCTCTGAGCAGTAAAGCGCCAGACACAGGGACGAGTTCCGAAAACCAAAGGCTCCGTGCGCCGCCGGAGGGCAATTCCCCAGCGCAGCAGCGGTCGGGCGCCCTCTGGTGGCTGTGCTGGCGCACCTTCGGGAACTTTGAGCTCGTTTGGCACCAGTGCCCGCGCGCCCCCTGGCGGCCGGATTTCTATCGGAGACATTCACAATGGTCCCCCTCTACCTGCTAATGGCAGGAGTGATGCTCTGCTCCTACCCAGCCTGCTCACTTGGTTGGCACATGCCTTCCAGTGCTTGCCTGGACAACATGGACATATTGATGTGGTTGAGACAGTTGAAAAGGGTTCCCTCTCAGTCGTGCCTCCATGACAGAATCAATTTCCAATTTCCTTGGAAACCAGACAATATCACCCAAATCCACAAGACACAAGCCACCTGTTTCCATCATCAGATGCTGCAGCAGATCTTCAGCCTCTTCAGCACAGAGGACAGCCATGCTGCTTGGGGTGGCCTCGTCCTCCCTCAACTACTGGTCTGCCTTCACTACCAGCTGCATGAACTAGAGTCGGCAAATGTCCAAAATCTGACCTGTCCCGACTTGGGGGTTGCTGTCCGGAAGTATTTCCAAGGAATCACCAGCTACCTGCAAGAAAAGAAACACCGCCCCTGTGCCTGGGAGGTTGTCAGAAGGGAGATCGAAGAGCGCCTGTTCCTCATTGACCGTGAACTCAGAGAGGAGGCAGCAAGTGAAGAAAGTTAGGCTCCAGACTCTCTGACCAGCTGCATCAGCGTTTGCGAAGCCCACAAAGGGACGCGTGATTTACACGTTAATATCTCAGGCCAAAATCATAGGATTCTTCTTAACATAAATTTTACATCAAAAGTGTTTGGAGAGAACAAATCTTCTACTGTCTTAAATAAATTATGTGGTTTATAATTGTATTTATCTATATAATTCTTGAGGGATATATGTTGATTCTACAGTCTGATCTGTATTTTCCATAGAAAATGTTTTTCAGCGTGATCCATTTCAAGGACATTTGTTAGCTCTTACTACAGATGAGCAGGTAGCTATCAATACTGAAATCACCACCCATCTGTTTCCTTCCCAGAAGAGCTCAGGGTGGGAGTTCCACATCAGATGACTCCCAGGGGGCCCCTCTGAGCAGTGACTGAGGCACCTGAGCACCTTGTACGTTGTGCCTTTGTCAACCCAACGTGCAACTCGGACGGGGGAGTGCTGCTTCAGTCTGCTCTACTCCACTGCAACGGGAAAAGAACGGAGAGCTGTTCTCAGGGATGTTTATCTTTTTCAGAGGTTTTTACCATAGGGCATGGCAATAGCTGAAGAGAGAGACAGAGAGTGAGAGAGACAAAGCCAGCGAATGACAAAGTGGGCAATCACTCTCTGGAGGGATGGACACACCACAAACCCTTCTCTTCCATTCTCCTCCTGGGGTCCTGTGTGCACATAAACGCGCACGCACACGCGCACACACAAAACACTCACGCGTGCGTGTCCAGATGGATATTGCAGTCACTGGGTCCAGGAATCCAACCACAGTCTGATACGGTAGAATGCAGTGACTTTACCACTCTGCCATCAGCTGGCTCCTACATGGGACTATTTATAGGAGCCAGGATTTAGAAAGCAAAAACAAGTTCTCCTCATAATTAACTGAACTGAATTAGTTCTCATAGGATAGAGCTGACCACAGAGGTCGGGGCAGGGAATCTAACTGGGTGATTAGGGGGAAGAAAATAGTGTCCTTTGAATAAGAATACTCTTTTATTGGGACCAGCAGGTGAAGGGGTGGATAAAGGTGCTGGATTCCTATATGGCTGAGTAGAGTTCAAGTCCCGAATCTGGCGGCTTGTTTTCTCACTTTCCCTTTCTCTCTCTCTTTCTTCCTCTTCTCAAATTAAAAAAAATAATAATAAATTAAATTTTTATAAAATGAATGCTTCTTTTTAAAAAGGACACTATTTTTACACTATTCATTCTAATGTTGCATTGTGAAGAAAGATTACTGAATACATGTTCTTCAACTTTATAAGAACGAAAATGGTCTCAGTGCCTCATTGTACAATTTAAACTCAGGGAAGATGACATGGTGTCATCCACTAGAGCTCACAGCATCAGTCTTTGACAGAAGCATTTAGTGGATTCCCAAATGCACACGCTAAAATTAAATATAACCGAGAGTATGGATAAGGTCCTGGAACACTGTGTGGTGTAAATTAATTCCTTCTAACATCAGGGGACAAGGCATGTGGGATCGGGTGTGTTTGGTCCATGAGTAGCACTGAAATAAGAATGAAGAATTGGTCTTCCATTTGCAGTCAGGCTCCGAGCATGCTGCTGGCCCTCAGACATTCCCGGGGAATGAGATGTGGAGGTGGGATACGGTGACATTGGGGACTCTGACCCTCCGTGGGCCTCAGCAGCTAAGATGGCAGACAGGGCTGGAGCCCAGTATTCTCAGTGTCCTGGGAGAGGCTGGCAGGGCCCCTGCAGAGTGGGGGTGCAGCTGACCTGGCCGTGGGAGCCTTTCTCCAGCGGCTCTCGCGCCTTCTCATGTGAGGGTCTTACGTGGCAAGGTCTGGATTTTCAGGGTTGGTACTTTTAACCCATATTTGCTTTCCCTTCCTTTCACTTTCTATTCTACTATGGTCCTGAGGTAGCGGCATGACTTCACTATTCCCTTGACATTATCACAATGAAATGAAACACACTCCTAGAAAATGTCAGACATCGCGATCCCATGGGATGTATTCAT